TTCAAATATAAATAAAAATCAATTCAACATAAATAATTAAATCAATAATTAACAAATTTGTTCCAAGTATACACAAAAATTAATCTAAATTAAACTAAAACATAAACAAAAATTAAACCAACATAAATAAAATTTAATTAATATTTAATTTTTACAGAGACGAGAATCCCCGCGGGACCTCGCAAAGCAAGAAAAATTTCTCGTAAAATTTTACAGGGAGAAAATGCTTCCCATCCTTGTCCTGCAAAGAGAAATATTTCTTTTTGTTTCATCCCCGTGAAGGAGATTCTCATAAAACTCCACAAGAATCGAGAAAAATTGCCATCCCAGTCTTAACCAATGATCTGAGGTCCTATTAGCTAAATCAAATTATGAGTACGACGGATAATACAAATGCCGAAAGGTATATAACTTCTTCATCTTGTTTACGCTAATACTTTATCTTTTTTTTTTTTTTTTTACCAGGTAGATGGTTAGGAAGTTAGTAGAGTTAGTTTGTTAGCAGCTGGAATTTTTTCAGGAAAGTGAATGTTCCATCCCCTCATTTGAAGCACGCAACCATTAGGTCGTAAGTTGGTGAAGTGCACAGTGGTGGCAGAGTTCAAAACCCTAACCTCCGCCTCACCCAAACCCTAAAACTTGGGGGCCAACTAATTGTACCACACGCCCCGTTGGTACGCCAATACTTTATCTTTTTTTTTTTTTTTTTATCAGGTAGATGGTTAGGAAGTTAGTAGAATTAGTTTTTTAGCAGCTGGAATTTTTTCAGGAAAGTGAATGCCCTCATTTGAAGCACGCGACCATTAGGTCGTAAGTTAGTGGAGTTCATAGTGGTGACAGAATTCAAAACCCTGACCTCCGCCTCACTCAAGCCCTAAAACTTGAGGGCCAACCAATTGACCCACACGCCCCCGTTGGCACGCCAATACTTTATCTAAAGACTAAAGATGTACTTAAAAAAATATTGCATTTCCCTGAGCATGCTTCATCGTCGTCCAATCATTGAGCAGAATTTTGATTTCATAAAACACGAAATCAAACTTGCTTTTAATTAGTTTTACCTTTAAAATTCTTAGAATGAACTTTTCTTCTTTTTTTAACTTAAATTGTGTGTTTTTTTAAAATTTTTCATGCTTACATCTGAAATGAGTCATACTAAAAAAAAAAAAACATTTTTTTTCTATAAATAAGAGTTAGGCCAACTTTCATATTAAAAAATATAAAAAATAAAAAGTTTAGCCAACTTAGAAGGTCTTAATTTAGTATTAGTGATTTAAACTTAAAAAAAAATATTATGCAGTCTAATTATTTTAAATTATAAAATTTAAATTATTAAATAAAAATAAATTTCTTAATATTAAATATTCTTTCTAATAAAATTATTTAATATTTTTTTATAATACAATAAAATTTAAATCATAAAACATAATACTCTTAAACCTTAGATATGTCTAAATATTAAGGTAGGTATAGGGTAAAAAGTAAAAAAGAAGGTTTTTGAACTCAAGGCGTGAAAAGTCTCCATCCAAGAAAATCGTCGTCCTCTTTCTATCACCGGTGGCTTCCTTGGCTCCGGCATGGAATATATTCAGCCGTGAAGTGACGTCAACACGCAGAACTGATGCGCAGGTTAAGGCAGCGAGGTGCGCAGGATAAGAAGAATAGGGGAAAATCTATGTGGTGCGCACATTAGCGATAATGGAAAGATGACGAGTCGAAAAATTGTTTGTTTCACTGTAGCTGACGATAATATTTTTATTATTGTCCACTTGTTAAATTAAATTGTTTAACTTAAAAATTATTCTTGAATAATATCAAAATACTACTAACACAAATCACATATAAAGCACTAAAATAATTTTTTCTTTAAAAAAAAAGTACTTAATTTATTTGCCAGCTATATACAAATTAAGTTTTAGATTTATATTAAGAAGGAGAAAAAATTAAGACTCTTAACATTAAAAATATCAAAATATTCAATTACAATTATTAAATATGTAAAGTATAGTATGAATTTTAATTTTATCAAATTTATTATTTAACTATAATTAGACATCCTGATATTTTTAATGATAAGATATTTTTATTTTCTGTATTTACAAATTATTTAATTTATAAATAATTTAAATAATAACTTCAATATATAAAATACAAGTAGGTAAAAAGAAAGTTACCATCATACAATCTAATATATAAAAAAAATTCATCAAGTCTAGAAACATTGTAACTATTAAAGAAAAAAAAGGAAGTGTAGCTTAGGAATTTATAAAAAGTCTATACATATATTATTTTTAAAATTTTTTTTAAAATAATATAATAAGAATGAAAGAAAAGGTGGAAATGAAGGTAACAGTTTGAATGTCTGTTTTAAGCTGTCGTATTCCATCTTGATTCTTGCTGTGAATGATTCCATGGGAGTTAGGGTTCTAAGAGAGGAGGAAGGAGCTGTTAATATTATTACTCTATACTCGGACAACTCTCCAAGTGCTTCAAATTCAATCGCCTCTGCTTCTGCTGTTTTCCCTGATGTTGAGATGGTGATTTTTTAGCGGGAAACTCAATCTCATGTGGTTTTAAAACAAGGTTCGTTCTTGTTTATGCTTGTTTTCGTTGTTTCTTTTCTGTGTCTGCTTGGTTGATGGGAAAGTTGGGGGAGGAAAAAGGCCAGAGAAAAATTTTCTACCGTAACTTTTTTTCTCAAGCTGGTTAATTAACTTCAACAGTAGAAAAAAAAATTTAAGAGGATGAGTTTTCTGGTAATCGGAAATATGTTTGTTGGATGAAATTGTTTCGAGTGTTTCGTTGTTTGGATTCATGGAGAGTTATGATTGCATGGATCAATGAGCTTTATAAAAACTGTTTCCTCAAATTTGGTGTATGATACCTCTGGTTTCTTGCATAAAAAATGTTTTTTTTTTTTTTATACGTGTTTTGCTCTCTAACCTTCCTTCCCTTTCCTTTTATTGATTTTCTGGTTGAGGATGTTTTGTCCAGCATTTTTGGAACTGCAGTATGTAACAGTTATTGAATTGAATTTCGATTCGAAGAGGATGATACATATGATTTCATTTAGATTTATTTGTTTTGTTTTAAAGCGGGTGGCGTTTTGAGTTTATTAGTGTTGTTGTTCAGCATGATGATGCTAAGTGATCGAGTTGCTTTTGCTACGGAAGCTTCAAGGACATGTGTTTGGAGTCTTGGGTTTGTTAGTGCGACTGCAGAAGTCTTTTCTTATCTTTTGTTTTAGGTGACGAGCAGCATCTTTAGAAGATTTTGTCATTGTTTCCTTTCCATCTTTGGATTTGGAGCAATACCCTTTTTTGGCACGTTAAAAGGTTCATGATTTTAGAAAAGTTCCCTAGAAGATTCCAATGGTAGTCTTAGATTGCAATGAAGAGTTGGCGGTGTAGGTCCACCCTCTACTCTCATAAGAGAAAAGTAAACAGTAAGCTCCAATTATGGTATGATTGGCAGCTAAGGTCTCATCTGGACATAGTGAAATGATAACAGGTGGGAATTTGCCATCGTTAATATTTAGTCATTGCTTTTACGTGCCTACATAGAAACTTGGTGTCTGGGAAATCACTAGATTCAAACCAATTTTCACTCATTAAGTGTTATTTACTGGAGGAGTTAGCAAATTTGGCTGGAATTAGAGAAGTTGTGTATCTTCCTTTATTTGCTTTAATTTCACATGTGCATATGGACTGCATCCCAGCCTTCAGCAGTTTCAATCTTTTGAAAGTAATGAGTGTCTTGAGAGGTTTTCATGAACCAGTGAATAATAACGAGGCAAAGGGAGCAATACTTTGGACAGTAAATAAATAATTGTTTACACATGTGTGCTGTTGGCTGCCACATGCTTGCTTCTCTTTAACCCTGTTGCCATACATAAACCTCTTGAACTTTATGTGCTTTATACCCAAAGCTTACATGATTTTTTTTTTCTTAAAGGTTGCAACTTGCTCTCAAATGCTTTCCTACATCAGTTTAATTTGTTCATAAGCTGTCTCAGTTATCAATTCAAGAAGCATGAACTCTTCATCTGCTCAGTTTGTCACCTCAAGGATGCCTATGTGTGAGCCTTTCCAACAGATTGGCCTGTGGGGAGAAAATTATAAGATTAATGTCAATTCAAATACATTGGCATCAATCATTGTAGAGATGGATAATAAACTAGACAATGAGGTGCAAAATTTTGAAGATATTCTTTGTTTGGTGGTTACTACCTTTTTTCCTGACTTCTGAATTGAAACATCTTTTTCATGTGATTTTTCTAGTCGGAGGATACTTCACAGGGAACACTGGCACCTTGTAACATGGATGATCAAGAAGCATCTAAGCCAATTGATAAGGTTCGTGCAACTTTATTGCTGTTTACAATGTATATATGTCTTCTCAATTTAAATGATTTGGTTCTGGATTTAAAATATCTCAGATGTGGTATCTATTAGTTTCTCAAGAAATTCTCCCTAGAGTTAGAAAGAGAAGATACTATTTTCAGTTTTTGGCGAGGTGCCTCTTCTTTCTTTTTTTTTTTTTTTCTCCCCCTCTCTTTACCCTCTTTACAATGTTGGATGTCCTTTTTACTACAAACTGATGAGTTCTTTTTCTTTGTCATCTATCCAATATGATTTCCCCTTTCTTACTCTGAAATCTGAATCACTATTTCACCATGTTTAACTGTATTCCTTATGATAAGAAATTGTTTCACAGTGTTTGTTTGCGATGTTTCTAGTCATACAAAAGGAATAACAGCGTTATGTCCAGTAGTTCATGATAATGGCAACATAAGTAGGTGTTTTGTTGGTATAATCGTTTTTGTGTGAGATGTATACTTTCCCTCCTGTGTCCATGTCTTTACTTTCTTTCTTCCTCTCATCCTCCTCTTCCTCTTTGTTTTGTTTGCTTTATGGATGTGGCCGCATGCATGTGTAAGAAGGTGACCCCACAATGTTCAGTTCGTCATACTTGTCATGCATTATCTGCATGTTCTGATTTTTAATAGTATATTTCAGACCTTGAAAGTGGGAAAATCTTTGTTAACTGCCAATTAGTTAGAATCTTTCTCACATTTCTTGTTGAATCAATTTGTATGTTGTAATTTCATTTTCATGCGAATATTTGCTTTAAGTATGAGCCTACTTCTAGCTTGTGCAACTTAATTCACATTATAGATTCTACAGATACAGAGACGTCTAGCACAAAATCGTGAGGCTGCTCGCAAAAGCCGTCTGCGGAAAAAGGTAGGGAGGGTTATGGTTTTGCATTGAATGTGCAGCACAAGAGGGTGTATGCTTACCTCATTCTGTTATTGCTTTACAGGCATATGTTCAACAATTAGAAAAAAGTCGTTCAAAGCTGATTCATTTGGAGCAAGACCTTGAACGAGCTAGGCAGCAGGTAGAAGAAGATTATCATTGTCTTTCTTTTAGTCTTTATTGATCAATTTCATTAAGCAATCCTCACTTTAATGCAGGGTTTGTATGTAGGAGGTGGATTAGAATGTGGTCATCTGGGGTTCTCCAGAGCTGTTAGTGCAGGTTTGTTTTTCAAGGTTCTGGAAATTATCCTTATTGGCTTTCTCGTTGAATGGATCTAATTTTGTAGCATGTGGCGTTCCAAATTCTATCCTAAGAATGCAAGTACTTCAAAAACTGTCTCCCCTCCCTCCCCCCACCACATCATATAAACTTCTCTTGTAACTCTCTCACATGCTCAGTATGATTTTCCAGCTTCAATTTCCTGCAGTATCTCATTCTTCCTTATTATTACATTTTACTACAATTAGCCCACTCCGAGAATTTTTGCAGGCATTTCTGAATTTGAGATAGCTTACGGTCATTGGGTGGAAGAACAGAATAGACAAATGTGTGAGCTGAGGTCTGCTTTGAATAATCATATAAGTGATATAGACCTTCACACACGAGTGGAAAATGGATTGAGCCACTATTTTTACCTTTTCCGCATGAAATCAACTGCTGCAAAGGCTGATGTTTTCTATGTCATGTCTGGCATGTGGAAAACACCAGCTGAACGTCTTTTCTTGTGGATAGGAGGATTTCGCCCTTCTGATCTTCTTAAGGTGATACATCATTTATTCTGATCAAATGCGGTGTATATCTTCCTTTGCATTTCTACTCTTTTTAAGTTTTTATTGCAGAATTTACTGTCTGTTCATTAATTTTATGTTGATTACAGGTACTTGGGCCGCAGCTTCAACCCTTGACAGATTCACAGTTTTACGATGTTTTTAACCTTACACAATCTTGTCAGCAAGCAGAAGATGCCCTTACACAAGGCATGGATAAACTCCAGCAAACTCTGGCAGAGACTGTAGCAGCTGGTCATCTTGGTGACTTGGTAAGTTACTGTAATCCTCAGCCAGGAACTGCAATGGAGAAGGTGGCTGCTCTAGTCAGCTTTGTGAACCAGGTATACTTGCATGTTTCTGTGGCACCATCAACAAGTGGTTTTAGAACAATATTTTTGCTATCCTCTACTGTCTAGGCTAGAATGTTTCAATTGTTTGTAGTAGTGAACAGGAAAAATCTCACTTACAATGTTTGCACATACATGATTCCTTCACGTATATGCAGGCTGACCATCTTCGCCAGGAAACCCTGCAGCAGATGGCTCGCATCTTAACAACCCGCCAGGCAGCTCGAGGTTTGCTTGTCTTGGGAGAGTACATCCAACGTCTTCGAGCTTTGAGCTCAGATTGGGCTAATCGTACTCGCGAGCTTGCCTAACCCTTAGTGTACAAAAACCTACAGCATAGGTGGCAAGAATCACATCCAAAACTGTTTCTACAGTCCAAAAGTGTTTTTGGTTGTTGTTGTATACAAAATTAGCAGCAATTCACGTTGCTGGCATTTTTCAGGTAGCAACCAGAACTGAAATCAGAGATACAGATATGAATATAGTCGTATTTACGGAAAACTTTGATATCATATCAATTTTAGATGCTGTCTTGTGCGTTGGTGTTGGAAGGGTGCATTTAGGTTTTACATTTTGAGTCATGTACCGGTTGAAACTGTACAATGTAAATCTCTATAGAAGGTTCTTTCCATAATTTAAATCCAACCGGTAATTCAGTTTAAAACTTCCTTTACAAATTCCTTGCACAAATGCATCATCCTGAAAATGCAGCTTAACCATTTTTGTCAACCCAGGTTTGTAGAAACATGTTATTCTTGGGAACCATCAATGTACAATTTTTCATCTCAACAGCGAGTCCAAACTTAAAAAGAAACTATTGATTATTGAGAGCAACTGTTAAGTCTGAGTTTGATGCTGAAGGATAGAGAAGTTACATAATCCCTTATGGCTCCTGATGGATTTGAAACCAATTGTCGAGCTGAGTTTGATGCTGAAGGATAGAGAAGTCACATAATCCTTTCTAGCTCCTGATGGATTTATCACTCACAACTTTGTCAGTGCATGGTCCAAAGCATCAGCGAGAAAATCTGCACATGCAGAATAGATGGCCAACTAATTATTCTCCAAAATGATCTGAAAAGGAAAAACTCTAAACAGCAGTAGTTTTATTGTTGTATAGGTTAGACTTTCAGTATTGTCAGGGATACAAGAAATACCTGCATCATCTTTGCTAAAACACATAGGTGGCTTTATTCTGAAAATATTGGCATGCATTCCACCTTTTCCAACAAGAACACCAAGTTCTTCAACCAGAAAAGAACACATGTTAGCAATGCTATGGTGTTTAATAAATAGAGGATGCTAGAAGCTTTTATTTCCCAAGTTTGAGTTTTGATAGGGATGTATCCTTGTACCTCTCATTTTCTCAAATAAGACATTGGTTTCAGCCTTGGCTGGTGTCTTTTCCTTTCTGTCAGTCACAAATTCTACTCCAATCATTAAGCCCCTACCCCTGACATCTCCAATAACTGAAACAGAGTTTAATAAATACAAGGATTCAATTCATTTGATAGTGCAATTCAAAACAAACTGAAGCATGAGGATACAATCACTCTCGCAAGGCACACATTCTACTAAAAGGTTTTAAACATAGTTGTATCAACTGAAGATGTTTAATCCACCTATATGCCTCCAAGTTTACTTTGGATAAAATCTGCACTAGTCAAAATACTTTAGTTTTCTCAAAACATTTTCAGGTCAGTTCAATCTAAGGAGCAAAACTATGGTATAGAACCAAGACAACCCTGAGGCAATTCGGATATTGTATCTGCAACCAAACGTGTGAATATAGCAATGAGAAATTCTAAGAAAAGTTAAGTTTAAAGCAATTACGGTCATATCTTTGCTGTAGAGATCTTAAGCGCCCTAGCAGATGAGCACCAACGTTGGCACAATGTACTTGACGCTTCTCCTTGTCAAGAACTTTGAGCACTGCAAGTCCAGCAGCAGAACATACAGGGTTCCCACCAAAAGTGTTAAACTGAATTCTTTGTGTCAAAGCACTGGCTATTTCTGGTGTTGTCACCACTGCTCCTAATGGTAATCCATTGCCAATACCCTGATAAGTGATAGATGCTATTGTGAAAAATTATTTGATGATTGGATGGCATTTATAAGATTCTAACACTTGGTGGGATTAAGGGAAGGGAAGCTCATAGCAAGGATGTAAAAATTCTATGTGTTAACATTTGCCTGAATAGAAACAAGAAAAGGGGAAGATTTTAAAGACCTTTGCCATGGTGACTATGTCAGGAATGACACCTTGAGTCTCAAAACCCCAGTAATGACTTCCCATGCGACCAAATCCAGATTGTACTTCATCAGCAATGCAGACACCACCAGCTTTGTGTACAATGTCATAGACATGTTTCAAATATCCTGGGGCTAGTTCGACTGCCCCTCCAACACCCTAAACCAAAATTTTGAAAATTTCATTGAAAAATTTCAACTGGTAAAAATTCAAATAAGCCCCTCGAAGAGAAACAGAAAACTATAAATGTTATAACCTGAACAGTTTCAGCTATAAATCCAGCAACATTTCCTGAAGTTCCATAATCAATATGTTCTTGCACATCTCTGGCATAAGCAGCGCCATCAGATCCAAATATTCCTCGGTATGGATCTGGATTCATCACATGATGGATTTCACCCTGGTGTAATTGTGATTATCAGAAAATTTTAGATAGTATGATTAATAAGCCTCACAAGAAGGTATTATGGAAAAAAAGAAGTTTACAATGGTTAAATTGATGAAATGGTGATGTTATCTCAAAAAATACACCCAGGTGAAGGTGAAATTGTCATGGAAACTGACACAAGAATTCCCTTTTCAAAAGGTTGTAGAGTTTAGAGATGCAGCATGCTCAATTATAAGTGCTGGTTACCAGCACTCATATGCAAGAATGGCATGTGAACAGGATACTGACAGCATATTCTATTTTAGAATAACTTAAAACTTAAAGTATGTATGATCCATGTCCATTTACAACAGTTCCAGTCGTATATCTCTAGAGCAGGAAGAGTAATCATTCACTGACCGCCCTTACTCCTACCTATAGATAAGGTGAGAAAGAAATTTTTACAAAAAAGGACATTGTGCTCCCAAAATTTAATCTAATTTACAACATTTTTGGTCAATTATAAATGGACCACCAGATTTAGCCTCAAAAGTGCCTTTATGGTCACAAAGAGGGGCTTCAAATTGGTCCAGCAAATACCTACAGATAGTAAATTGCAACAAATTTTCTGATGGAAAAGTAACAGTTAATAGTGCTTGTTTGTCCATATGGTATCCTGACTGAAATAACATGTCTCATACAAGTTTAATTTTGAAATTTGAAGAATGGTAAATGTTTTGTTAAAAGGAAGAGAAATCTGCAATATGTCCTGCAAATTAATCTAATTTCATGAATCCAAACTGCAATTTTCTTTCCAAAGAATGATGGGAATTTTAGATCTAAAGAATATTAAACTAATAGGCAATGTAACTAACTACTTCACCATGCCAACATAACCTAGAGGGAGCCAAAAACAGATAAGTTAAAGTTCTAGTGGAAAAAAGAAATAGTTCTCAAGTATAGATCATAATAGAAATTCACTACAGATAAGTAAGGGCCTTAAAGGTACCATGATTATTTAAGAGTTCTATGGTTGGAACGACAAACCTCAGGTATAGGGTACTTCCATGTACGAAGTGCAGTCAGTCCAATTGTATTAGCACTTCCACCGTGATATGCATTTCTCAAGGAAATCATGCTAAGATTGCCGGTGTGTAGTCTAGCCATCATCATTGCTAGCTCATTCGCTTCACTCCCTGAATTGACAAAATATACCACCTGCATTTGCCAATGATGAATGTTCAATATATCTAAATTTTTTCAATGATCATTTCAAAAAACTGACTTCAACCCATTTGGCAATCAACCAAAAAAAAAAAAAAAAGAAGAAGAGAGAGAAAAGCATCATGCTTTGACCTATCACCCATTGAACTGTGAATCAAGGAAATCTTCAACAGCAATATATAAGCAGATGGAAAAGGAACACAAAAGCATGAAAATGAAACACATTTCTCAAGGAATAGATTACCTTGAGGTTGCCGGGCATTTTGGATGCCAAAGCCTCAGCGTATTCAGCTATTGCGTGGTGCAAGTAGATGGTGGTAGTATGCTGAAGGAGCTTGCTTTGCTCAAAAACAGCGTTCAAGATGTCAGGGTGGCAATGCCCGCAGGACACCGTAACAATCCCAGCGAAAGCATCCAGATACCGCTTCCCAGACTCATCAAACAGATACTGCATCTTTCCTTCTACAATATTCAGCTGCACACATTATCCCCCACCCCCAAAAGAAACAAAGTAGAATTCGATCAAACCTGAAAATAACTGAGAAATTAAAAGGCGGCGAAGCAATTAGGGAGTCTTACTGGCTTTTGAAAGTGGTAGAAGAGGGAAGGGCCCAAGAACTTCTTGCGCTTCTCAAATATTTCATCGGCCAGAGGACCATTGTAAGGCTTCGGCTGATAATCGAACGGCGGGAGTTGTGGCGGCGTGACGGCGGCAGCCGCCTTGGAAGATGGAACCGTAGAGAAAGAAGCGCAACCGTAGAAGCTGAGCTTTGCTCTGGCTCCATCTGCCGTTCTCTTGAGGATTTGTCTCTGCATCGCCATGGTCGATTCTGAGTTGTGACTTTGTGAGTGATGATGTGATACTATTTAGTGGCCGGACATTGATCGGGATTTGGCTTCGCCCGTTACCGCTGATTTTTATTTATTTTCTCCGTTAATTAATGACATCAGTAATTTTGGGTTTGGCAGATTTTTTTTACAATAATTTCTACATGTAGCATTTTATTTTATTATTTTTTAAATATGAGATAATTATATTAAATTTTAATTAATTTAAAATCAAATTGAAATAAATTTTATAAAGAAAAAATTTTATTAATATTTATTTTTTTATTTATAAGATTTAAATTTAAAATTTTATTTAAAGAGAATTATATTGTTTTTACTTAGGTCAATAAATCATTAGTTGTAACATTTTATTTTTTGATTGAGGTATAACAATTCTCATAATTAAAATATTAAAATAATAATAAATTAAAATATTTCTAATAAATTAATAAAATTTATTAAAGTACTTAATAATTTTAAAAAAAATTCTTAACATTTAAAATGTTAAAGAAAATGTCATAATTTTCACTCTTCCTCTTACCTTCCGTTATCGCATGTGTTTTATATTTTTTAAGTCTAATCATATAATAATTATAAAGTTTTCGTACTAAAAATATATTATTACGTGAAATAATTTTTGAATAGTACGTCGATCAAGTGACATTCAATTTGAAATAATTTTAGTAATTAAAACTATAAATTTAATTTGCATTCCGCCTCAGAAATTTTTTTTGTTATTTAATATTTATCCAAAAAAATCTTTTATAACTTAAATTATTTTAAATTATAAAATACTAATTTTTTAATTAAAAAAGACTTCTTAGAAAAATTTTATTTTGCACTAAAACAACAAACATCAATAAATTAAATAATTCAATGATAATTTATTTTTATTGAAAATAAAAAATTTTGAATTCGAATCATAAACATATGAATAATAAAATAAGATAAAAAATAAAAAATAAAAAATATTTTTATCTCATTGTGTGACCAACATCAAAAATAAAAAATTTAAACAGTAAAATAATAATTCCCTCGTATTTATATAAGAAATTATTCAGAGGCAATCAATTCTCACACGATACGTTCTTTTAAAAATCATACACTAATAAAAAAGATCCGGAGGGGTGGGGATGGGGACAATTAGCGTAGGCGAATATTCAGTAATCAGTGCCTACTCAAATATTTGCCGTATATAATTATCAAGCCAAGTTGCCAACTCATTTAAAGATAAGGTTAGGAATAATGCATTTTAAATTTTCAATAATATCATCGATTTCTGCCTAATAAGCATTTAGTCTTCAGGAATGGAAAAAAAAAAAAAGCCAATATAATTTATTATCGTTATAAATAAATATATATAATATTATAAATTTAATAAAAATCAAAATTAATTATTAAATAATATATAAAATTATATGAAGAAAGTGTATACAACCGTGAAATGAAAAGCAAAGGATTATTTTTGAATTATTGATTATATTGCCCGCCAATGCAGTACCTGTAGAGGATGATAAACCTTAGTTGAACTACAAGCTTGGATGCGGTGCGAAGTCTATTATTGCCACCACCAAGGCACAAAATCATTGGCAACTCATCAGAGACAGATGCGGAGCAGGGCCTTACTTTTTTCTCCTCAATCAAATGCAGATTCCTCCCGTGGTGCAGTGAGAATGAGAAAGATGCTTGCTTCAAAAAATGTCATTCCTAGGAGCAACCATCAAGTGTACTGAACTGGTCCAATGCCTCTCCGGCAGAAAAGCGGTTTGCTTTCATTCCTGCTTGAGCCTTGAAGGCGCCAAGGGCAGTACATTTTCATCTTTGAATTTACGGTCCGTGAGTTAGAAGTCTTGTTCAAAGTCTTTTGAGGATGGAACTCAGTATAAAAGTGGCCCAATAATGGTGTCTGTTCCATGTGAAGGATTCATCTTCTGATAACAGACAGCAAAAGATCTTCTACATGACTGATTACAAAATTTCTCTTCAAATCCATCTTGTACGTATACCTACCAGTAATCCCGACAAGAACACAGTCCATCCTTGAAATGGTGAAACCGAGTAGCATCTCTCACAATAATTTCTCTGTGTGAGAGCTTGGAGATATATTTAATGGCAGAGTGGCAGTCGTTACAGACTCTGAGGTTCTTCATGATCCTCAAGGTGGTATTTTCAGGGGTACTTATTAGCCCAAATGCAATAGCAAGTTTTTCGCTGTGGTGTCTGAGAATCTGCTCCTTCACTTCTTCTTCAAGGTCATGCAGTACTGATTTGGTGTCAGGAACAAAGCCCATCTTTCTTATCTCTTCCCATATTTTTGCCATCATCTTATAGATATCCCCTTTCTGTGGGTGAAGCGCATCTTCAACGCCAAAGACATGGACTTTGTTCTTTATCTGAAGCCAACTAATTCCTTGTTCTTTCTTCACTCCTCCACACTTCATTGACTTGCGAATTTTAGCAGCATCATCCCATCTACCACAAGCTGAATACAAATTAGCAAGAGCTGAGTACGCCCCACTGTTGTCAGGGTCAATATGGAGCAATCTCTCTGCTGCAACCTTTCCAAGCTCCACGTTCTTATAAGTCTTGCAAGAAGATAAGAGAGAACCCCAAACTATAACATCTGGTTCAATTGGCATCTTTTCAATAAAATCATATGCCCGTTGGAGCAATCCAGCACGCCCAAGCAGATCAATCATGCATGCATAATGGCTTAAGGAAGGTTCAATTTTGTGGAAATCTTTCATCATATTGTAATACCTCCAACCCTGTTCTACCAGTCCCACGTGTGTACAAGCAGAGAGCACACCAACATAAGTTATATGGTCAGGCTTGATTCCAGCCAATAGCATCATCTCAAACAGCTCAAGGGCTTCTTCTCCAAGACCATGTTGAGCTTGAGCCATTATCATGGATGTCCAAGATACAGTATCTCTGTTCCCCTTGATCAATTTGAATACTTGCCTTGCACCATTGATGCTTCCAGCTCTGGCATACATGGTAATTAGAGCATTGTTCACAGAAACTGAGGATGCTTTATCAGTTCTTATGGCACTTGCATGAATTTGTTTGCCATGAATCAATGAAGCCAAGCTTGAACTGGCACTCAACAAGGCTGCCAGAGTATGGCTATTTGGCTTAGGTCCATCTCTAATCATTAATCTAAATAGCTCAAATGCATCATTGTTCAAGCCATTCTGCACGTACCCAACAATCATGGCTGTCCATGCAACCACATCCCGGTATCTCAATGAGTCAAAGATCTGTCTGGCCGGGTTTATATTCCCAAGCTTAACATATCCATCCAATAAAGACGTAAATGCTATAACATCAAGATGTGAAATCCCACTTTGCTCTATAAGCTTTTGAGCTGTCTCAACAGCACCAGACTTGGCATACATTGAGATTAAAGCATTTGCCACAGGCCCAGAGGTGTCAAATTTGGTTCTGACAATATGAGCATGAATTTCCTTCCCAAGTCCCAATTTCTCAAGATTGGCACAAGCTGATAATGCACTTGCCAACGTGAATTTATCAGGCTGCAACTGGGAATGCCTCAGCATATTTGAAAATATATTTATAGCTTCAACATCATAACCATGTTGATTGTAACCTGCAATCATTGCATTCCACATAACTAAATCCCGCTCACTCATCTGGTCAAACAGAGTACGTGCAAGATCAACTTGACCAGACTGCATATGCAGTGAAATCATAACATTCCAACTTGATGTGTTCTTAAATTTCATCCTATCAAAGACAACCGTCGTCATCATCGGATCACCTGACTTCGCATACATATTCAATAAAGAATTTGCAACAGTAACATAGCTACTACTAAGTCCAAGCTTAACAGCAAAAGAATGTACCTTTCTCCCAATACCTAACGCTTCAATAGCTGCACAAGAAGCAAGAACGCTAGTAATGGTGTATTCTGTAGGTTCTACTCCATCCTTTATCATCTCAGCAAAAACTCTGATTGCATTTTTGAAACAACCCATCTGGTTGTACCCCACGATCATTGTAGCCCACGAAACTGAATCACGATTGGGTATTTTATTAAAAACATCAAAGGCTTGAGATATCATTCCCTGTTTTGCAAATGCCGACAGAAGCGTATTCCATGAGAATATAGTCTTCACAGGCATTTCATCAAACAGGCTGTGAGCATTCGAAATACTCCCAGTTTTAGCATAAAAATTCATGAGATTATTCATCAGCACAACACAACAATGAAGCCCGGATTTGATTATATGGGCATGAATTGATTTCCCTGCCAATGGGTAGTTAGAATTGAGACTTCTTTGGAGGAGATAAGTGTAGAAATAGGACGGAGAAGGAAAATAAGATGAGTTCGGAGTCTCCATTGGAGGCTATAACAATAAGATTATAAGAAAACAATTAATGGATTCAACTGCATCCAATTTTGGTTTGGTAAGATGAAATGGTGGTCAGCATGGGAATGGATTCATCTGAGTTTCGACCAAACGGAACTGGCTGTGAACAACGGACGACGTGAAGGCGCCCTGCGACGGGCGATTAGGAATTTTTTTCTTAATTCTGACCGATTAGATTGTTAAAGTGCAGACCAATGTTTCCAGAACCGGACCAGACCGGTCTTTTTATCTCAAAAAAGCATAGGACTGATGATTCGGACTAGTAAATCAATGAAGTTTCTATTCGAACATTAAAATAAGGAAAAAAAGAGAGAGGAAATTTAAGACATTTTAACATTAAAAATATAAGAATGTTTAATAATAATTACAAGATAAATTTGATAAAATTAATGTCACATTATACGGGTTATACATTTAATAGTTATGATTGAATGTTTTAATATTTTTAATGGTAAAATATCTTGATTTTTCATTTTCT